CAGGAATTTAAATTTAGAAGGCAAGTAAAGAGCACAACCTTTAAAGCAAGTAAATTGTAAAAGCCTTCAAAAACCAGCGTAAGAACTGCTCATGATAAAACAACCATCTGAAATCAGCGACTCGGCTGAGGAGACCACGAGAGGGTCAGCGTGAGCACAGGGGGTGGCAGCAGCACGAGATCCACTAGCCAGGAGCGCCCGAGGATGCTGTGGGCGGGTGCCAGTAAAGATGTCTGATGAACCGACAGAAGCAGTGACATCCTCAGCACGTTCTAGCACTGGTTTTAACGTTTCGAGGCTGCCAAGTCAACGATCTATCCATTTTTGAGTTGTGGGCGTTGCAGTAGAAGTCGTACTTGCATCCTGAGGGTATTTTAGGACTGTTTAACGGAAGACCTCTCTTGCAGACAGAATCCATCCCATCTCAGTCGCTACGTTGCGCGCCCACTCCTCTGTGTTCGTGCTAAGCCTAGAACTCTCACTAGGACTAGCACATCTCTAACAACGCAGGCAGCTCACTGAAACAGCCACATTCCATTGCCGTACGTAACTTCCCAGAGCACGTTTGTGAAGGGCAAGAATTTCACCTCCCATGTAGCCCTCAAAAGGTGCGACAATAAAAATCCCTACGCTATTACCTCATTTTGTAGAGCCACTGCTATTTTCTTTAAAATTCCACATTAATTTCTCAGAACAGCTGATCCTCTCCGAACAGAAAGCTTTTAATCAGAGTTTATCCAACGTTTTTCTGGCACAGAAAGATTTGAATTTTAAACAAGGTTACCAAACTGCTTGATAAAGGAAAGTTTTGACCTACTCATGAAGCTGCCTTTCTGCAACTCTTACCACTCGTCTTGAAACAGGATACCGCTTTTCACTTCTGCAGATAACTCCCGCTTGTTGCTCTTGGCAGACAGTAGCGCTACGTCCCCGCAACCTTCCTTTACATCGCGAGGAGGGTCTGCAGGCCGCAGCACTAATCCCAAAGCTAAGAAGTCGGCACGGCACAGCGCCCTAACCCCAACACGGACATTATCCAGCCTCGAGCGGCGATAATTCGGAGGCGTCGGCAATTTGTGCGGCGCACAACAGCGGTG